GCCGGGATCAACGGGGGCTACTGTTTCGCTTTCCATTCTCAAAATATTTCTCAAGTGAGACTCTAGAGTCATGTTTAATAAAGCCTAGAGGTAGGTAAGCTTTTATTTATAATGATTTAGGGTTTGCCTTGGAACCATAAATTCATTAATGGTAGCGTTTCCGAGTGGATTAAACCATTTTTGGAAGATCGAGAAAAGGCAATTATTACATTAAAAGACGAGCCGTTCTCTTTAAGAAGGGAAAAAGCAACCGTCGCATCAACTGCAAAAGTTTCTAAGGCTCAAGCCTGACAAATTTACCGAGTTGACTAAACCCGAAGTGGGGAACTCGCTTTAAGCCGAGCTCAGTTCTCGCATTCTAAAGAGAAAGGTCTGATCAACCTAAAAATCTCAAAAGCATTGCCACAAGGCCACAAAAGGTTAAAAAGCGGACTTTGCAAACCCGCATATGATTTTAACCAAACCCCCTTGGGTCACAACCTAGAAAGGTTTAAAAGCCTCCTCAGGCAAATATCTTGAAAAATAATAAAGCCTCCTTAGGCCAAAAACAACAAAGCCTCCTTAGGCCAAAATAAATTAAGTCTTAAAGTTAAAGGGACAATCCCCAATTTAAAGTGGACACAGCCACTACGGAGCGATCTCCACCTCGGGCTCCTGCTCAGCAACCAGAGTTTCATTCACCTCCTTGACTGGAGCTTGATCAGATGAAGCTCCCAGACCACCCTCCGCGGGACAACCAACCTCCGGAGTAACCTCCGGTACCTCAGGAGCTACGGGCGGGACAATGCCCTCCGTCTCACTTGAACCTGGAAATAATAATTCCAGTCAATCAAAGGTACAAGGCAAGAAAAGGTAAGCCTTAGGAGCCAAGCGTTACCTGCCCAGTCTAAACCCGATTCACTTATTGGAGGTGATTCAGTAAAGAATGCCTCGAAGTCAAGTGGGTTGAAGGCCGAAGTGGGAAGAGCTGCCAAGCGACTCCGTTTTTCAGAAAGGTTAGTCGACAGCTCGGTCCTTTCTTGCTCTTCGGAGAAATCTGCTTCATGGATTTGATCCAGCAGAATCAGGTTACTTTCGTGCTCCTTGATGTCCGACTCCAAGTCCGACCTAGCCTTCTCAGTCTGCATGAATCGGATGGCCCCTTGGATCAACTCCATCCCGCGTCCCTTGACCTCTTTTCTAGCTTTTGATGCCGACCTCGCCAACTCGGAATCACGCAATTTGGCGATCGCTTTGTACTTTGCGTTGAGCTCGATGAGTTGGTTGTTCAGGGAATCAGCGTTTGATTCGGACTCTTGAAGCCTACCTTGAATACCAGAAAACTCTTCCTGGAGCTTGAAGTTCTGGTCGTACTGACCCTGCAGCTCCCCCTTTACCTGCGCAAGCTCGGATGTTAAATTGTCGACTTTGTCCTCCAGCTCGTGCTTGGAGCCGGCAGAAGAACTGACTTCAGCCTCAAGAGCAGAGAGTTTCTTTTTCCACGTGTCAATCTCCTTCTCCCGTCCGATGACCAACCCTTCGTAATGATCGATCATGTCGTTAAATTCGCTCTGGGCCTGGCATTATACATGAACCAAGGATGGTGAGTCAGTTCGCAGAATGGCAATATAAAAAAAAAAACGGAACTAACCCGAGATGAGTGGTAAGCGTGAAGCAAATAGCGTTCACGAATTGCAGGGCGCCATTTGTTGAAATCCGGCAAGATCGAACCCGAACGGGTCTTGAAGCATCGGAAGACGCTGCCTTCTGTCTCCATAGCTGCAAGGAAGGAAGAATTGTAAAAAATTGGAATTTTAATAAAAACAAAAAGTTGAAGTATGTAAATCGCCAAACCTGAAAGTGATTTGACTTGAGGTACAAGAGCAGGCTTCAGCCTCGAGGGAGCATCTCGAGATTCAGAATCTCCCTTTTTCGGAGACGCACTCCGGGCGGTCTTCCCACTATCAGGCTGGGAAGAGGAGGACATGTCAACCGGTCGTGGAGGACCCATTGGTTCAGAAGGAGGGGATGACCGAGGTGAGCGGTCAGTCCGGGCCCTTGACTTTTCCCTCTGCGGGGAAAGATCACTGCGAGAGGACTTGTCTCTCTTTCGGCGAACCAAGTTCTTGATTGGCTCGTTACTAAAATCATCTCGGGAAGGATGAGGTGAATCACGGCGAGGAGATCGATCCCTCCGAGGAGAACGTGAGTCGCGACGATCGCAACGAGGAGTTAATCTGAAGGAAGCGACAGATCGGGCTCCCTCGGTACTGCCATCATCGACCAGCAAGGTCCTACTATAGTCCTTCTTGTCTATGGAAGTCGTGAGAAATTTTTTCTTCTCCTCGCAAGCCTCAGCCATCGGCTTGGAAAGCAACTTACGTTTGGCCGCAAGGGCTCGAGATGACATTCCCTGAGTTGAGGGAGGGGGAGGAATTTGGTGAAGATGACCAGGCGGACTCATCCTGAGTCTGTGGTTAGCCTCTATGAATCGTTCGAGAGTGAAGGAATTCCAAAGGGTTTCCCCTTCAAGAATTATTTTGAAGAATTCGATGAACTCTTCAGATGGGAGATTGG